TGAGGTTCAACTTTCGTTTGAATTGAATTATCAAATAATTTGCTGAAACATTTTGAAGAAATTTGGAGTTTGCTTCTTGGAGGAAACGTTAAGAATTCACACTATGTGCATAGCTAGCCTGCTCTACTGCTGGAAAAATAATAAATTTAATATTTCATTTTTGGAAATCTTATATTCAAGTCGTTCTGCTTTCCTGTGAGAACCTACTGCCAAAGAAGGACAATAATAACTACAATAAAATTTTTCTTGATTTCACTTTCACACCTCTCCTAATTCTTTGCCTCTGATGTTACCAATCCAATCAATTTTTGATTAAACATGTTCCTGAAGAGAGTTTATTGTCTTTAAAAGATCAACAAGAAGAGAAAATTTGGTAACTCATTTCTTGAATTGACCAAACGTTGCACGTACTCAGATAAACAGGAATTTTACTAACTTTTTAAGTAATTCTAAGAGTGAATGAGCAATTTCAGTTTGGTTAGTAAAGTTAACTGAAAGCTTTTTCTATGTGAAAACCCAAAAAGTCTAATATATTTGAGTCTAATATATTGATTTAACCAAGCTCGTATAATTGTTATTGATATCCATAAGTTGCACATGAAAGCTTTTCGCCCAATTTTTGCAATGTGACTTTAGCCTTTCCTGCTTGGTTATGACTTCCTAACAACAACCTATCGACTTCCATGCTGATGTCCACAGAGCATGTGGAAGTAGCTAGGAAAAACCTCAAGTTTAATGCAAATGTATTCGTATTGATCCACTTCAATCTGGTTTTCAAAATAATTGATAATTTCTTGTTATAAAAAAAGTAAGACTCACCAACATTTTCTCTTCATCTTCTCTCATAGTTTTTCAGTACATAGAAGGCAAATGCTGAGTAGGTCAGATTACCCATTTAGTAGTTAGATAGGTTTTAACATGAGAAAGCTTATTTTCCAGCAACCAAAGATAGGTTTTAACATAAGAAAACTTATTTTCTAGCAAACAAAATTTTATTTTAAGAGAATATTGAAGGCTAAACTTCATATTTCCACGAAATGTTAGTCTT